TTGAGCAGCTGTGCATGTGACTATGCGCAATGTCCTAGTACCCAGCATAGCTCAAAGCAATGACACTCCCAAAGCGCCAACCCCAGCCATACAGAACTCCCTGGCCCAGGATGCAAAACCTTGTTTGAGGCAACTTTCCTTCAAGGCCTTGGTAAAAATGGCAATTTTCAGGAAAGTAAATAGCATTCAAGCAGGTTGTTTTTTGCGACTAGATGTTGACCAGATGTCCCCGAAGGCCTTCGGTTTTTGCCAGGATCTCTCAATGGATCTCCATGGCTCAGAGAGATGGGGTCGTGCATGCAACAAATCTAATGAATCGTTTTTGTCCATCCGAGTCTATCCAATGGTCCATCTCACCAGTGTCCCGGAGAAACACAGGAATTGGATGATACATTCTATGTTGGTGTTTTGGTGCTTGGCCTGTTCCCTAGTGGTGATCATTGCTTGGGCAGCGCTGATCAAAGGAGAGACTGATTCCTGATGAATATGCGAAGAACAATCATCCGCATTTTTCTGAGCACCAACTTGAATTGAATGCTTTTTTCCGGTGGTTGCAGTGCGCCATACTTCACCATCGTTTGTCATTTTGCAGATGGTCCAGTCCTGCTTGGTTTCACAGTGATTTACGCCTTTACTTTCTTCTTCGGATCATTTGTTATCTTAAAGCAAGTCCGATTCGACTTGAGCACGTGGCACAGGCATCGAAGATGGGAACTTTAGCGTCGGGCTCGAAGGCGGGATGATTCGATGGGCATGTGTCACACATCATTTGGGGTGTCAAAATTGGAAGCCCAAATCGTGATCTTCCTTGTTTCCCTTGAAACCACAGCAACCTGAAGAGGGTACCCTCCAAAAGCACAAGCCCTGGCAGGCGTCCCGTGCGTCCAAGACCCAGGAAGCAAGAGGGAAAAGCACAGCGAAGGAGACCGAAATTCACCCAAGGTTGGCACCAACCGGTTTGATGGCAGACGTGCCTATTGAACATTTGCGAGCATGCGGACTTGGAAGGCATTCTGGAGCCTGTGATTTCTTCGGACCCGAGAATTAAAGGCAACATTCAATCCCACAAGCACTCAAGTCCTGCAGGAGAAGCGCGCTGCCTCGTCAAGCCACCAGGCGTCATGCCTTTGGTCCATTCGTGCCTTTGGTACATGCGTGATAGTGTGGTGCTTGTGTGGTAGTGTGGTGCCAGAATGTTGCTTCAATGTGTGTGCAATGATGCCCGTTTCACGTACCACCGAAAGTTCTTGTGGCAAGGCAGCTCGCAAGCATCGAAGGTGCGGCTACTTCTTGTGGCGAGTCCTTCTGCCACCGGAAAGGGCCCCGCTCCATTCACTGCAGGAAAGACAAAACGCAGCCAACCAGACTAAGGTGCCTGCACATTTGCATTTCTTTCTGCGTGCATGCCGGAGTACGCCAGGCTGCCACCAATAAACTTTCCAGAGTTGCCGATATTGATTGCAGACCAAGACGAAGAGGCTTGTGCAACTGCCGTGTGCCTGCTGAGCTATCGTGAACCTGAAGCGTTTGTTTGTCAGGAGGTCTTGCCTGCGATGTCAAGGTCAAGGAACTCTTTGCTCCCAGCACCAGCAAGCCTATATCACTCGTTATCAGGAGAGCTCGACCAGTGGTCCTGCAGGCTGAGCGCCAGTTTCGCGAGGTCGGGAAGCAGTTTGCAAAAGTCCGGCAGCAAGTCCGGTGGCAGGCGAGGCGGAAGGAGTTGGAGATCATGCGCGACCATTTCACGGAAGAGCTGCAGGCTGTACAAACGGCAGCCTGGCAGCACTCTGTTTTAAAAGTAGACGAGCATGGCTAGATGCAAGGGTCAGAAAGATTGCCGATCCATGTGGATGGACAATATCCTGCACCAGGTAGGCAGGGTTTCATCTATCCTAAGTGTTGCAGGTGTTCGTCAGTAGTTGCTCACGGCCTTGTGCGGAGTCCTAGATGTTGTGACTTCGCCATGAGGAGCGGCAAGAAGCGGCCAAAGAGTTACGCCAAAGTTGCGTGGCAGAGGTGCTCCGGCACTCGGACTGACTGAGACGACTCTCCACGGAGCAAAGCGTCATGAGACATCTCGACAGGCAGAGGCGGTCGAGAAGCTGCAAGAAGCCCTGACAGCTGCTTTCGGAACCGTGATCGACTAGAAAATGGGATATCGAGTGTTCAGTGAGCATGCGAGTTTCGCCGCGTGAGGGTTCGAAGCTGCAGCTTTTCACAGATCAGCTTTGCAAAGAATGCGCTTCTGAAAGTCAGTTCTATGACTTCTCAATGATTAGAGCACGTCAAGTTGCACGAGATAGCAAATCAGAGATTTTGGAGAGAGCCATGGCCGTGAATCCTTTGTTGGCTCAGGCAGCTGGGTGGCCCTTTGAAACCATCTATCAAAAAAGGGGTACCCTCCAAAAGGACACACCCAGCCATTTTCATGCAGTTTTCGTCTTATCGATGCATGACAGGATGGTGCCACCCAGTCGCTGTTTCCCATGCCAGAGAGTGGGGAGGCCGGCAAGCACGCGATTCATGGGGGATCGCGGCAACTGACACCGTTCAGTGGATATAGCCCTGTGAATTGGCGGAACGTGACATTACAAAGGTGCCTGTATTCCTATTCGGACTTTCCAGGCTCTATGCCTCTATCCCTGATTTGGTTGTTTGTTAGCTGCCAATTACTTACGCCAGAATAGCTCAACAGGCCCTTTCTCAACAACCTGGGAGCGGGTCAAGCGCAGGGGTTCAAGCGAAGTGTCAATGCCGCAAGCGTCCACTCATTGCAGTTGCTGCGCGCTGCGCTCTGCGCTCTGCATGCAGGCCTTCGTGCTCAAGCGAGACAACATCGACTTCGAATGCGCACTTCCCCGCGGTGGTAAACTTTGGGGAAGGCTCGCCTGCAAACCTGATAGTCTACCTACGTTATACTGTACTACAAAGATTGCACCGAGGGGCTGCTTCTTCCTCTCATCGAAGAGAATAGTCTTTGTGTCCGGGGCCTGCAGCCCAGGCTTTGCGCGCCTGAGAGGATTGCACTTGCAATGCCTAAAGCGGGCTGAGGACAAATCCTGCCGGCAAGACTTCAGATCTTTTGCGATTCCCCTTCACACGCTTAGGCCGTGGCTTGAGTGCATGCATTGTCCATTCCAGAGTATTTAAGAAGCGAGGTTAGTGGCTAGGTTTATTTGCTATGCGGCTTGCTCATACACACAGTCACACAATATCACACAATCACACTCTCTCTGAGTTAGTTTGTGGCCGCCCGCAGGAAGCCAAAGTTTGAGCAGCCCATCTTTGGTGCTGCCCTTGGTGCCTCAAAGACTCCTCGAACAATTTGATCACCTTTTCCTTCGGGGTACGAAATGGTACATTTGCGAGGTGTGTGAGGGCGTCCAGAGAAAGAGTGTGCATTTTTCAAGTGGCGGGGGAGATGGACATGTGAAGCTGTCAGGTTTTGGCTCAACACTGACAAAAGTACACCCAGGCCTCCCCCAACCCCCCGCCAGTGTACATTTCTGCGTCCACCGGTCACCGGTGTCCGAGGAAATCCCTAGCATGAAGCAGGTTTCGGACAAGCCTGAATAATGTACAGCGAAGGGGGGGGATGGGGGCGGAGGGTCATACTTGTGCACTGCAGGGTCCCCCCAATCCTCCCCCCAGCCCCCTCCCAGCCCCCCCCCCCCAACCCCTTTCTCCAACATGATGACCGCCACAGAAATGCACAAGGTTGTGTTGCACCCCGGCAAATATCTATCATAGAGCCCCCCCTACCTAGAATGTACAGAGCTGGGGGTGCCGCCCAGTTTGGGGTTGGTTGTGTCTGTCTGTGTGCGTCAGAGAGGCGCAAACTACTTGGCTGGCTCCACGAAGCCCCTGCCCGGCATGGAGAACGCCCGAGCGCTCGTGGCTTATGAGACACGTTCGAGTGAAGTGCCTCAAGGACCCAGCAGCTGCCCCACTTCTGGGTGGAGACACGGTGCGCCAACCGCTTGGATCAGGCAAGACTTTCGAGTTCCAAAGTGCCAGGTTTTCTACTTGACCTTCCGAAGTGGGGGCTGCAGAGCCTCAGACGCGTCTGGTATTTTTGTTTATTTTTGGTGCAAGTGTTCTGAGGTTTGTTGTCAATATGCTAGTTTCTCCAGGTGCAAGTGCACATTGGGTGGCGATTTTTCCGGGATTGTATCCTCTAGTGCGAGAACATTTGTGGAAAACCACGCGTCGCCACGCGTTTTTTTTGTATCTGAGATACCTTTCTTCAGCTGCTATTTCAGCTGCTCTCGGAGGTGCAGGAGGCCTGGTGTTAGATGGACAGTTTGGCTGTGGCTCACAATCATGTACCAAACTGGAGTCTTGGTAAATGGAAACCGAAGTCCAGAACCTGCGTAAGCCATGCTCTCGGCTTTCAGAAGTGACCCCCCGGAAGGCTCGCGCGCAAGGGCCCATCGCCACGGCCTCAACCGCCGCGGAGTCCGCGGCCTCAGCTGAGCGATGCGCCCTGAGGCTCAAGCCGCTCAGGAGGGACGACTAAACCAGGCGAGTTGACGTGGCCATTCTGTGGGTCAAAAGAGGGTAACCCCAAAATGGCACCCTGGTAACCCTGGTAAATGGAAGCAATGACTAAAACCTGTGGTCCCATTCCCGGTGGTTTGATTTTGACCCATACCCATTTAGTTTATATCGTTGAGGTCGATGCGCCAGGTCGCATATGTTGACCCAAGTGATCCTTCGGTGCTCTACCTGTCGCAGCCTACAGCAGTTGCTGGGTCGGAGGACCACACATGGATCATTTGGAGCTAGGGCCTAGAGCACTGGTCGTTGTGAGGAGCGAACCAACTTCCAAATGGACGCGCCATCGGCACCTCCTCCAGAAGGCGCGCAGTTCTTTCTTAAGTCTTTCAAATGCTTACACGCCAGGTACTCAGCCAGCGCCTCCAGCTCGCAACAACAATTGTGTGGTATGCTGAGAGAGGGAAGATCACGATGCCACCGTGCATCAGACACATTCTCAGGTGCTTGCAAAACAGATCGGCTTAGTGTGCCTCAACATGTTCAAGTAGTTGCACTTCATTCATTGCGACTTGTACACACAAGATCTGCTCGCGCAGCAGTGAGTCAATCGGTCTGGTCTTTGCAGTACAGCCAGCAAGAAGCTTCACATTACGCAACGACCAACATAGGATTCCCCGCGAATGGTTTCTGCTCGAAAGGCTCCTTCGCCAGATTTCTGTGACAAATTGCCGCACCCGCGCTCGAAAGCGTGCAGGATGATAAATCCGATGCGGGTGAGGCAATGCTGGACCGCATCTTAGAGGCTGGGATGACTGAATCTAACGCAGGGGATCATTGACATGTTTGTTTTTTGGGGTTATGAAAATCAGCAACTGGGGGGGGTCCCTTAAAAATTAGCCTGTCACTTGGTTGGTTGATATAGTGCACTTATATTGGGCCAGCATCGCAGTAAAACGCTTTTGACTTCTCCGTGAGGACCTGCGCCTTCGTGTCTTCCAGGACACTCGGCTTCCTCCGCCAAAGCTCCGAGCAATTCGACTCCAGGACTCGAAGGGAGCTCCGACGGATGGGGATCCTCGCTCCCAGACCATCTTCGAGCGCATGGCCGAGAAGCTCCTGGACCCGCCGCGTTGCGCATCTAATGGTTTCGCCAAAAGGGAGCACTTCGGAGCGAGGAGTTCTGTAGTTTTATGCTTGAGGAGGGGCCAAGCAGAGCTGAGATTGCAGAAGCGAAAGCAGGCCAAAGGCGCTGAAGAAGATTGACTGTCGCATTGCATACTGTGGATGGACGAAATCCTGCACCACTTTGATGGGAAACCATTATCTGTTGGTATTTACAGGGCAATCATTATCGCAGGGTTTCTTAGGTGGTGCGAAATGGATTTCGTCCACAGTATCGCAGCCCTTGCAGCAGACGCACCAAGCAAGCGCCGTTTGCTAGGCTGCCTAGCACGTGGACAAGGCCTGGCACAAGGGGATACAAAGAAGCGAGCCAGTTTCACCTTCCAAGCTTGGACATGGCAAGCTGCGGTTGGCTTGAGGCATGTTAAGCCCATAGACACAAATTTGGGTGTGACTCAAGAATAAAGAGCTAGGCTTGCGCATGTTTTAGTCTTTGCCACTTTGGCACGGCGGGTTACAATTGTTTGAGCCACGGCCATTTGATGACAAATGTTTCGCTTCAACTCAGGTTCAAGGCATCGAAGGGTTGCAACAACTGGCCGTGTCGCAAGAACATGTACTAAAACAGCACCTTGGTATGTGGAACATGTGGAGCCCAAGACTACCACCTGCGTAACCCCAGCTCTGAAATGTTGAGCCACACCCAACTTGCAACGCTTAAAGTGCACCTGCTGGAAACATGCTCTCTGAAAGGCGCGTCGCCTTTGCTTGAGCTAAAGCAGCATACCTTCCTGGAGGCATGTCCCAAAGCCCACCACAACAAAAGATAGTATTCTTAGTATCATCATTGCATATGGAGTATTCCAGCCCCAGGCCAAACCATTTACCATTCTGAATATGTATTTTTACAACAGGGCCCGCCATGGGCCTGCGTTTTACAACAAAAGGATACGATCACATGATATCACCAAAAACAAACATCGGTGCACAATAGTCAGCAGTCTCGAAAAGCACATTTGACCAAAACCGAGAAAACTCCACACAAAGCAATGAAGCGGGGGAAATGACCAGTACCTCCAAGGCGTTGTTCTGAGGACTGTTTGTTGTTGTTTGAGTTTTCTCGAGGTGTTTTGCATTTCAAGCCCCGATGGGAATACTAGGAAACACTAGGGTCACCTTGAGAAACACCCCCCCAAAAAAAAGACATCCCCCGGGGGGGGGGGGGGGGAACCAGGTTGCACTATACTGGAGAGGAAATACTTGGAATATTCAGAAAAATTGGGGGAGTGCTGAGGGAATACAAGGTGTAAGAGAATATTAAAGGCACGGGGGACTGCTAGGGCAATATTTCGGGAGCAATAGGGAAATTCTCAGGGAATAGTAAGGGAATACTGCGGAATACCAAGAGGCTACCGAGAGAACACCAAAGGAATACTAGGGGAATACAGAGGGGAATGGATGCCTTCTCCGAAACAGAGCCACCGTATGTGCAAGTAAAAGTGCATCCATCCATGCCAAGATGCAAAAAGGCGGATTTCAAAAAGACAGGCCCCAACGGCGGGCCGCTCTCTTCTGGAAATCCCGTGCATGCAATGCACAGCTTTTTTTGCCCCTTTTCTTTGTTTTGGCCTCCTTGTTTTAGCCGGAGGTTCGGCCGTATTGGCGTACTGTGTCCTGCACGCCCTCAATTATTTGGCGAACTCGATCACGTGACTGGAATGAGACTTGCTGTGTACCCTGCTGCATGACGTAGATTTGCTACTGGCTCAGTACTACTTGCACACTCAATGAGCCAGATGATGAGTCCTTGTTCTTTGTGTTCTTTGTGTCTTCGCTCTGCCAGGCAATGGAAAGCATACGTCGCCAAGTGCCTGGCGAGCATTGACAGGTGGGCCATTCTGCAGGTTGGTGACTCGCCCACTCGCCCACTCGCAGGCGATCAGAATTAAGGGACGGGAACAACCAGCCGCGCGTCACCAGAGCTCGGCTGGCCGGTTTGACGCGGGTTTGGAGCGCAGAGAGCTTTTTCCGGTCCAGGTGTACAACAAGATTCATGCGCTGCAGCATGTGGAGCTTGCTGACTGGCAAGGCAGGAGTTGTGATGGTGACGTCAGTAGCAAGGCTGCACAGCTATGACATTCACCAGAGAGCCCTCTCCAAAGTGGGGTGCTGGATATCAATCCCCACCTACTTGGTGTCCACCAAGGGGTTCCTATTCAAAATTTATATCCACTTGGTGGAAATGTTGCACGACTGTCTCCTTCTTGGTCGCCTGTGCAGGCAATCAAGGCTGGACCCAAAACTTGGATCTGGAGCATGATTTCTGTACTTCGTTTCAGTGGTTTTCAGCGTCTGAACCTTGCTCAGAAGGGTTGAAAGAAGGGGAACACGTTTGTTCACTGCCTGCCCGAGATTTTTCAAGGACTGAACTTCCATGTGGTGCGTCCACTTTCCCATCCAATTCCAATTCTTGGTGTGTTTATTGGTGAGTCCAACAGATAGAAAAGACACGTCATAAGGTCTCACCAATACACCAAAGGAAAAGGAAAAGAGGTAAGACAGGGAAAAGAACAGAGAAATGACTGCCTTCGTTCCACCGCTCACGGTTTCCATCCCCAGCTCTTGGGTTTCTGGACTCTCTGTTTCCTCCGTCCACAGCTTCCTCCAAACCCAACAATAAAAGCTACAAAATGAATCAGGATAGAGCCAATGGCTGACAAAGCAAAGAGAAAGCTAAGGAACGAAGATATGTCAAGGCTTTTAAAGACGGAAATGATGGATGAAGATATTTGTAAAGGAAACAGACAATAGAATGCTTTTATTAATATCTCTCACTTTGCAACCCCATCAATCCCCCATTTCCCCTCGAGGCAAATCAACAGCAGACATCTTATTCGTCCGGGTGTCAGGCCGACCCAGAGCTCGCATTGTGTTCAATGGCGCCGACGTGCGTGCCTGGCCAGTTTGCGTCCTTCCATGTCACCCGTCACGTGGAGCCAGGGTCGAAGTGCTGCTGACAGACCTACGGGGCAAGCAGGCAGAGGACCTGGCGTGAATGCAAGTGCCAGACTTTTGACAGGAAAGGCACACGCAGCAAAGCTTTGCCCTTTCCGTCGGGCTCCTAGGCTATGCCGTTCGTCAGAGAGGACACGCCACAAAAGCGTTCGGGATGAATAAATATCCTTTCGGACCCCCCCAAACAAAAAGTCTGTGTCTTTTTCTTGACTCTGTACTTTCGTGGCCGGACCCCCCAAAACCGGGTATGTTTGCTTTCCCAGCCAAAGGGTACCCTCCGCGCAAGGCAAAGGCTTGCCCGAAGGAGAGCTTTCAGAGAGCAAGGCCGGGCTCCCAAAAGCCAAGGTTTGTCGAATCCGGGAACCTCAACAGGGCTCCTTAAGAGATACATTTTGCAACCATTTGAAACGTGGCTTTTTTCTTACCAGAAAAGGGAAACCACCATTTGCAAGGCAATGTTCAGGTGTATAATGTAAGAATCCCTGCTCAAAATTCGTGGTTTCCCCCAAATTCCCTTGAAAGACCCTTTGTTCTCACCAAATGGCGGCGTTTCGTTTCAGCCAACCCACAGGGTAGCCTCAACCTTGCGAATGCCGCGTGGCTCAGGCTTGCTTGCGTGCCCCTGTTGGATGCTGCCCGAGCTGAGGGAGTTGTACAGAGCTTGGAGGCTGGACGCAACGATTCAGCGATCGACGGCGAATGCTGATGGATAGGAGCTGTGTCGCGAAGTCTTTCCAAGACTGGTTCATGCCTTGGCCCAACAGATTCAGATTCCTGGCACGTTCAGTCTCGCCAAGGACATGCTGTTTAAACGTGAGCTCGACGAGGCCGTTGCACAAATTTGTTTGGAGCTGTGTTGCCAAATGGTTTTCTCTCTGTCAGGGGCGTCAATTCGTTCCTTGCGCGGAGGACTGCGTTGACCAATTTGATGCTTCTTATAGCTTTTTGGGCTGAGGATCTTGAGGAGATGAGCTTTGAGGTCCTGCTGGATGAGCTGGAGAAGCTCATTTCCCAAGGCTAGCCATAGGGGGTGGCAGAGCGTTTGCCACGTGGCGCTCTAATACAGAGAGCCTGGGGAGGAAACAAGTGCAGCATTGACTGACATGCCGTGTCATTCCATTTGCATTTTCGGACCATGGACCTGCGGCTTTGAGCACAGTTATTGTAGAAAGCGCAATCTCCAAGGTGCATAGTGCATGGTGCAGCCAGCTTGAACTGAGCCGCAGATCATCCAATCACCCACGTGCGCAATGGGTGTTCGATGCAGACATGGAAGGGCAGTGATACGTAGAACAGCCCCAGCTGAGCCACGCTTGAAGGGTTGTACCCTGGCAGCAGTAGCCAATGAGTGCACAAAGCACAGTCTGAGCCGTGAATTTGCCGTACTCAGGCCGTGCAGCGCATGTCAGCTGGCTCCTCAGTCAGAATGCAAAGCCAGAGCTGCTGGAACTTTTCTGAGGTGGCTCATAGCAACGTTGGTGGCCTGCTCCGCAAACATGGCTGGCCACTTAGTGACTTTGCATGTTTTGGAGTTGTGGACGCAGTTCAGGTTATGCGGAGATAAAGAAGGCAACTCGTTTGACGCCTTGCCTTCCGGCCCTTTGTTCCCTGGCGATATGTTCCTTGCATTCCTTTGGCAGGTCGGCGAAGGCTCCTTTGGCAAAGCGCTACTGGTGCGGGGTGAGGAGAAAGCTCTCGGGCAAGTTCTGTCTTCAAAGCGAAACCTGGCTATGTTTGTCTCGACGCAGGATGGTCAGAAGCTCATTTGTAAGATGGTAGATGTAAGCAAAGCCTCGCGAAGAGAAATGGAGGACGGACAATAGCAGCTCAGTTTGCCTTGTGACTGTCGTGCCAAGTCAGGATGCCGTAAAGGAAGGCAAGCTTTTGTCTGAACTGTTCCTCCCTTAGGAACCGGGATAGAAGCATTGCCAGCCTCTTTAATAGAAAAAAGCAACGCCGACTTGACTGTGCGAGGAAGCATCCATACATTGTCCGCTACCGCGAGAGCTTCACGGAAAGCGGCTGGCGCGCACATCTTGTTGCAGCAGTTTTTGCGCACGCATCCATTCGACAGTTTTTGAGTGGGGACTGCAGTGATCAGGAGAAAACAGGGTTTACGCCTGATGTTTGCGCTCGTGACCACCTCACTGCACACCGCTGAGATGGGCAGACGGCAGGCTTTGCATCCTGATGGACTACTGCGAGGGTGGGGATCTGACCGCACGAATATCAGAGGCAAGCTCGGGCTGCTTTGCTGGTCAGTTGGGAGTTTCTCAAAACGGTGGACCCCCTTTCCGTTGGTATTTAAAGAAGACACTTTTAGGGGACCCTTTTTTCTTTTTTTGATAGACACCCAGTTGGTTTGTAGTGCCGCCGCATCTGGAAGCTGTGGGTTGAGAGGCGAAGAGGAGCCGGAAGCCTATGTCGGAGGACCAGATCTTGCGCTGGTGACCCGCGTCGTGTTTGGCGCCACACGTTTCCACCAGAACAGCTCTCCCACTCATTCCTTTCTACCTATCTCTTTGGTAGACCAGCTCGAGGTGTTTCTGCATATTTATTCTTTATTGCGTGGCGGTAAAGCGAGCTCACATTTGGGATCCTTCAACATCTTTTTGTCGAAGTCTTGTGGACGTTAGGACGATGGTTCGAATCCAATTCAGGTAGTTGTCTAGTCCAAGTGATCATGGTATCCTGATCATGTTCATCCTTAAGCGAGCTGACTGCCAGCCTGAACTGTTGGCTCGGAATAGCTTGAGCCTTTTCTGCACCCGTGTAAAACTGTTGATGCTCATCTCAGGGATACTCCTGATATGAACTTAGCAAGAGCGGAGGTCTGGCACGCTTTCCATTTAGGTCTTGCGCTGTATTTGTGCACGCCAGGTTTGTCCAGGCCATCCTCGCCCTGAAGTACATTCACGAGAAGCACGTCTTGCATCGTGATTTGAAGCCTTCCAACTTCTTTCTCTCCAAGAGTGGGACAGGGCGTTGCCGCATGTAAGATGCCAAATCCTGACAAAGAGCTGGGTGTTGCGATTTTGCTTTATTTGGTCTTGCGTCTTGCGTTGATAGCTTGAGCCTTGCAGGAATTTGAAGATGGGTGACTTTGGCATTGCGAAGGCGGGCGAACGTTGACTCTGCAGCAGAGAGGTGTTGGTTCTCTTGATGCGCTGAGGTGCTAGCATGTACCATCGCGGTGGCAAAAACGCAAATCGGCACGTTGGCGTCTCAGCAATGAAAGCCAAATTTTGAGACGTGGGTGGCGCGCCTTTTTCGGAGTTGGTGCCCCCCTTTCGGGGTGGGAATTCAAAAGGAAAACATGCACTTTGGGTGTCCCCTAAACAAAAAAACACCGTGAGGTTTGGAAAGCAGTGCCAGGCCATACTACCTCAGCCCAGAGTTGTGTCAAGAAAAGTCTGTCACTTAGTTTGCGTGCAGCAACGGTATTGCAATGAGCTGACCAAACTAAGCATTGCTCACAGCTTTTCGACTTGAATTTTGTGGAAAAGACAAGCACGGGGATGAAACACATAGAGTTGAAATATCCAACACTGGACAAGACCGTGATACGAGGCCATACACCTTTAGCTCTGACATTTGGGCCATGGGCTGCATCCTCTTCGAGCGCGGGGCTCGGACAAGAAAAAGAAGAACACGGCCTCGTGTGTGTGTGTGTGTGTGTGTGTGTGTTTGGGGCTCGGGGAAAAAAGAAAGAAAACAAAACAAAACAAAAACAAAACAAAAACAAAAAAAACAGTTCGGTTCGTGTCTCGCTTCGATGGGGATGCCGAGGCTCTGTGCGCTGAAGGTGCCCTTCGATGCGCCGAACATCCCGGGATTGGTGCAAAAGATTGCGCCGCGCCGAGGATCTCTTTGAATCTGTGGCGGTAGAGGGCGAAGGGGAACCCCCTAAGCTCCAACCAATCCATAGCACCAATTGGGAGATTTGGGGGCCCCCCTAAAAAAAAAATGGACAAAAAGAGAAGCTTCAGGAATATAGACAGGGGACAAAAAGGCAGGACTAGCCCGTGCCAAGGTTCGAGCTCCAGTGCCACCCGTGTCCAAGCCTCAGAGACTGGCGATGCGTGTGGATTGGATGCATGTTCCTCAGAGGCCAGCGACATATTCTGCGTTCCTTCGGGAGCTTGTGGGTCAGATGCTGAACAGGACTGTCACTTCCGATGCGGGTCTGTCTTTATTAAGGGATACCCCGTTTTTGGTGGTTTTAAAGGGAAACCAATAAGAACCCAGCCTTTTTTGAGGTCCCATTAACACGAGACCCATGCGTCCACATTCTTCCAGGAACCCAGACCAGCGCCCAAGTCCTGAAGAAATCCTGCAAAAGCCGATGCCTGACGCACCGTGAACACGTCGTTCAAACGGCCTGGAGGGTATGACGCTGGAGCTGAGGCCAAGACTGCAAGGAATCGTGAAGCTCATGCTGGATGAGGCTCAAGAAGCGGCGCAGGCGCAAAGCGCTTGAAGATTGCAACACTACAATGGCTTCTGTGGCTAGGGGCGGGGGGGGGAAGTTGTAACTCAGTCCTAAAGTTTCCTCGAGCAGGTTCGCACGCACAGTAGCACATGCGTTACAAATGGTACCCTCTCAGCACATTGAAGCTGGCGGCCTTTGCTGGTTCCAGCTGCGATCTAAATTGTTGGGTTTCGTTTCATGAATTTGATGTCATGGCCCGCTCCACTTGAGCCCCTCGCAATTTGCCCGGACGCCTATGACCCCAAGCAGCAGACTCCAACCGCATGATGCCAAAGTGTTTCTGGTGAGTGCACAGGAGTTGTTGTGTTTTTGTTGAGATCAGTTGGATTTGCCGAGTCTTTGCATTCAAAGTGCAAGCTGCTTGTTTTCGCAGGCTGCCGACGAGGCTTCACAGGCTTCTCGGAGTCGACGAAGTGAAGCGGAGCCTGAACCGTCGCCACCGCCGCCGCCGCCGCCAGCAGGATGCCTAGCCGGGAGCGCAGCCCTAATGGTCAGTCCCACAAATAAGGGGACTTTGTATGAAAAAGGACGGTTTGTATTAGGTCAGTCCCACACATGGGAGGGTAGTGTCCCTTTAGCTTCCCTCAAGTTCCAAAAAACGTAGCCTCAAAAAGACACGCCCCCCCCCCACCCCCCCACACCAAGTTGACCGAACGAGGCGAGTGACCTGCCTGGCCGGAGACTTGGATGTGCATGCCTTCCTCTCTCCCTCACCTGGTGCAACAGGATTTACCTAAAAATGTTGTGTTCAACATGTGGGTGTCACACCTGCAGCGTAATGTAATCATTACGCTCTTTTCCGCTCACAAGCAAGGAAAAGAAAATACTATACATTCAGGTTGGTTCAAATGATCCTGCTCGCTGAGTTGTAAACACTATGCTTCAAACCTTGGACCTACCATGAAAGCTAGCTACCTCAAAGCCCAAGAAAATTCAGTGGAAGGGAAATGGGGAAGGGAAATGGCAGGAGTCGAAGTCAGCTGATTTTACTTGAGGATGTCCTGCCGCAGTAGTTGGTTGCTGCTAGTTGGAACAGGATATGTAGATTGTCACGGTCCAGATTTCAAATGCTGATTTGTTTGCATTCTTAGGCCTGTATGTCGTATTTTGTCATTGTGGACCACCCAAAGTCGACCCTAAACCCGCCCAACTCAGCCTGGACGCCAGCCCTTTGCTTCGCCCAAATCAACCCCAAACCAAGCCCCACCCTGAAAATCTGATTCCGCCCAATCTACGCAAGCCTCGAGCAACTCCCAACCGCCACCCTGATGCCAAGGCCCAAGATCTAAACCATTTGCCTACAGTATGTTGCAGGCAATCCTCGAGTGCCACCCGATCAGAGCCAGTAGGCGAACCAAAAAGGAGGTTGGTGATGCCGCGGCCTGCTCCAGGTGATGCTGAGAAAGTTGCCAGCCCTAACAACAGCCAGCGCTGGGAAAACAAAAAATACTTCTACCCGTGCAGAGGATCGTTTTGGTGGAAACCAAGACAAAGTTTCATTATTGCTCGTGGGGAAGACTCGCGCAAAAGGGGATCCCTAACTACAAAAGGACGGCGTAGGCACCAGCTGTTAACATTGCGGGGACGGTTGCCACGTTACCTTTATCTTTATGTTTGCTTCACAGCAAAGAAAACATACAATGACAGTAATCCCTCCCCTCCGCTCCCCTCCCCTCCCCTCCCCTCCGCTCCCCTCCCCTCCCCTCCCCTCCCTCCCTCCCCTCCCTCCCCTCCCCTCCCCTCCCCTCCCCTCCCCTCCCCTCCCCTCCCTTTTTTCCCTGCGAACAAAAGTTTGAGAGTTTGACATGGCTCTCCCTCCCTCCCTCCCTCCCTCCCTCCCTCCCTCCCTCCCTAGCTAGGTGGCATTTATAGAACACATGACTTGGTGGAGTACTACTCCGTGTCGCACGGAGTCAGGGCCTTATTTGCATCCCGTACGCACATATGTGCTGACAGTCGGTCTCTGCGAGGATTGGCTACCTGCCACAATCACGAAGACAGACAGCGAGGGGCGCATCATCATTGATTTGAAGTCGGTTCCTTCAAGTTGTCTTTGCCCGATGTCGACAGCCATTCCATAGGCCAAACACTTGGATCTCCAAGGAGGCGCTGGAGACCGACTCCTCGCCATGTTTCTCCCCGCCCCTCTTTTCCAGGATCAAGCTATGAAAGTGCGGCGACGGAGAGAAGGCCCATGCGGCACATGCGCGCCAAGAAAGATCAGTAAGCAGGTCCTTGCATGAAGTCAGTTGGGTATGGGTGAAAATTAAACCACCAGGGGACCGCAGATTTGAGTCTATATTACCACTTACCAGGGTTCGATTTTGGGGTTACCCTATTTTGACCCACAGCCATACTGATTCTTCGCGCTCGAATCCGGCAGGAGGTGCAGGAGGTGCAGGTTCACGCGCTGCCTCTCCCATGAGGAACAGCCCTTCCTCAGCTGGCCTCAGAGGCTCGACTCAAGAAATGCATAGTGGCTGCCGCCTTTTGGTTATGGAACCCACACCAAAAGGGAGGCTGTCCTGGAGCGCTTTCCCTCTAAAACCAAATGGGTAGCAACTGAAAAGGAGAGAGATGCATCATCTGTCATTTTCGTGTCAGCTCCTCCTCCTCAGATCGGGCCAGAGCCCAAAGGCGGTCAGTCCAGTCGGCCTGCTCCGATGTCAGCCTGAGGAGAAGTCCATCCTTGGGAGGGCCAGCAGCCCAAGCCTGCACCAAGTGGATCCTTTTTTGCGTGGCCCAGGCCTGGCAGTCGGCCAGGATCACGGGTGAACTCTCCGCTGCAGCGCAGGAGACTGGAAACTGGAAACCTTCAGACTTGGAATTTTTGGTAAAAATGCGGAAGATCTGCCTGAGGAGCCCGGCCCTTGCCGGCGCCCCGTTTTGTGCAACGAAAGATTCACTCGCCACTCGCAGTCTAGGCTGCCGGAGCCATCGCCGGCCTGGGCAGCCGCCCGGGCTCCGGCGTGGGCAGCCGCCCAGGGTCCAGAGCGGCCAGCCACCCACGGCCACGCGCCAGAGATCCGCGCGCGCAAATCCGTCCCGAGGCGTCGCCCTCCGGCAGAGCGTGGTGGCCCAAGGCCCCTTTGTTTGTGGATGAGTTGTGTGTCTCGTTTTGGCAAGGCCGAGCCCACGGGTTTCGCAATTCGACGCAGCTGGCCCAGGTTTTGAACAAATGGAGTTTAGGAGATGAGTTCAGGTGTATAGAAAGCATGACCTGGTGGAGTACTGGTCTGTCTCCCACGGAGAATGGCTACCAGCAACTGTGGTGAACACAGACATCGAAGGCTGGTGCCTGTGCTGATCTCGATGGGTGGCAAGCGAAGAGACTGCTTGCAGTTTCCAGCGTCAGGGCGAATTGTCATTGACCTCAAGCCCAACACGTGGCTTACCAAGGAGGCCAACGCAACGGGTGCAACAGAATTCGAGAACACAACTGGGATGCACATCCTTGGAGGATCAATCCACCAAAGTTCGACGGAGAGCTCGCGTTGGAACTCCAGGCTCAGAGTCACACAGAGAGGTTGCAAGACAGACGAATATCGATCTTGCCAGAGATGCCAGACGCGAGGAAGTCTCAGAAAGAATGACACGTGTTCAGCCGCCTTGAGGATCTCAGATGCGCCGCATGCCATCAGCACAGCTCTGAGCCAATGTGTGGTTGCTTGTCCCTATGAATGTGTGCATGCGCATGCGGTGACTGAGCACTAAACCGCGCAAACACAATCCTTGAATGCTATGCATTGGTCTCGCAGGGAGGAACTCATGGTTGGTGCTGTAGGCATTGAACTTGTCGACTCTGTTCTTAACTCCTCACGTGTGCCGCAGCCCGGGAAACCCAACACCTCTATGGCCCAAAGGCTGTGTTTATTTTGAGGGCACCCCTTGTTGTTGCGACTTTAAAGAGAAAAGAAGAGCGGCATTTGTGTTGTTGTTGGTTTTTTGGGGGGGAAGTCTCCCTAACAAAAGACGCACCTCATGACAATCTTGACAGTTAGCGTCTCCTAGGCAGACCATGTGCCGCCAGCCCGAGCAGCCTCTCCCAGGCACAAAGGCAGCGCAAAAAACTGTTCTGAAAGCGTGAAATCTCAGGTGCATGCCATCTCCGGGACGTGTGAGGTGCCCAAAACGCCTGGAGTTGATGTCGTTCTTGAGAACCCATACGCGCCAAGTGAGTGCAAGCCAAGGCCATGTCACCACGCCTGCAGCTCAAAGGATGTGGCCTTGCAAACCACAGACAGCACAGAAAGAGACTCCCAGACAGACACAGACTGATACACACACACACAGACACATGTTCGCGGACAGGAAAAACACAGACACAGACACAGACAGACACACGCACGCACGCAACACTCTTACACAAACAAACGTACGCACGCACGCACGCACGCACGCACGCACGCACGCACGCACGCACGCACGCACGCACTTACGCGAACAAACGCACATGCACACAGACAGACACGCGCCCACACACACAAATACAGACACCCGCGCCCACACGCACGCACGCACCCGCGCCCGCACCCGCACACACACACACACACACCCGCCCACGCTCGCACGCACGAACGCACGCACACTCACACACACACATACGCACAGACAGACAGGCAGGCAGGCAGAGAGACAGACAGACAGACAGACAGACAGACAGAGACAGACAGACAGACAGAGAGACAGACAGACAGACAGGCAGGCAGACAGACAGACAGACAGACAGAGACAGAGACAGACAGACAGACAGACAGACAGACAGACAGACAGACAGACAGACAGACAGACAGACAGACAGACAGACAGACAGACAGACAGACAGACAGACAGACAGACAGACAGACAGACAGACAGACAGACAGACAGACAGACAGACAGACAGACAGACAGACAGACAGACAGACAGACAGACAGACAGACAGACAGACAGACAGACAGACAGACAGACAGACAGACAGACAGACAGACAGACAGACAGACAGACAGACAGACAGACAGACAGACACAGACAGACAGACAGACAGACAGACAGACAGACAGACAGACAGACAGACAGACAGACAGACAGACAGACAGACAGACAGACAGACAGACAGACAGACAGACAGACAGACAGACAGACAGACAGACAGACAGACAGACAGACAGACAGACAGACAGACAGACAGACAGACAGACAGACAGACAGACAGACAGACAGACAGACAGACAGACAGACAGACAGACAGACAGACAGACAGACAGACAGACAGACAGCAGACACACAGACACACAGACACACAGACACACACACACACACAGCCACACAGCCACACAGCCAAACACACACACCCAAACACGCACACACACACACACAGACACACAGGCACGGACACAGACCCACACACACACACAGACACGCAGACAGAAACAGACAGATGCGGACGACACGCATAGGCGCAAACACAGGCAGACGCACGCAGACACACAGACACATAGACCCACAGACACACACACACAGGCGCACACACACACAGACACATCGGGACGGACACAGACCCACACACACAGGCACACACACACAGACACATCGGGACGGACACAGACCCACACACACACACACACACACACACAGACACACAGACAGAAACAGACCCACGCGGACGACACGCATAGGCGCAAACTCAGGCAGACGCACGCAGACACACAGACACGCAGACACACAGACACAAAGACACACACACACAGACACACAGACACACGGCCGCACAGACACAGACACACGGGCGCACAGACACCGACAGACGCCGACAGACACACAGACACAGACACACGCATAGACACACACAGACACACACACACACAAGCACAGAGACACAGGCACAGACACACAACATAGACGCACAGACAAACCCACCCAGCCACCCGCCCGTCCGCCCACCCACCCACACACCACACGCACGCTCTCCCACTCGGCACGCTTACACCTGTGCCCACGAAGGCGAACACGTGCGAACGCGCACACATGCGCAGGCGCACACGTGCGCACCATACACGCACTCACGTGAACACGCAGACTTTTTGACACGCACACACTTATGCAGACATTCGTTGTGCAAAAGATTGCATCGTTAATGAATGCTACGCATTTTGTATGTGGGGGTTGGTCAACATGCCTGGCCCAAAAATGACCGTGGGTAACTTTGGTGGTCTCCCCAATGGTCATCCCATGTAAAGGACCTTTTAATGAACCGCCGCGTTTTCTGCTTTCGTTCGGACGAGATCGTGCTCCGTCTCCGTGGCGTGCTTGTGGAGAGACGCCGGGGCGGGCCGGGCACTTGGCGCCGAGCTTGCCACATGCACGAATTTCGACGTCTTCCGAGGCGCCAAGCCCAAGAAGGCGCGACGCGCCGACTCCTCGAAGATCGCCAATCTGGCTTGATTGGCACATTGAAGTGGTTGAATCTGACGCGCGATAGGCCAGGAATGCCGCCTCCAGGCCGGAGTCTCGTCTCATGGCAGAACGTGCAGGGCTGTGCTACTGAGGCCATTCAGCCGACCCTTTTCGGAATGGGAACGGATACTTCCCGTAGTTTCACCGCCCTTTTGTTGCCATTTCCGACAGCTTTTTCGTCCGGACCTTTTCTGCCAACTTTCCCAAGTCTAACCATCCAAGTAGACTCGCAGAAATGGTAACCAAGGGTGCCGGAATTTGTTGTGGCCGACGTTTTGCATGGACATCTTGCGGCAGATTGCAAGAGCAAGGACGGCGCTTATATATACGAGAATTTGTGCGGCCCAAGCCCAAGTCAATCTTCACCTTGTCGCATGCGGGCAGAAGGTTCCTGCTGAAGCAGCTACCAAAAGAACGAGTGCTGCACATCCCCTGCAGAGTTCATGGCAAGTGCCGATATTCTTTTGGCTGGTTTTCCCTGGTTTGTGTTTCGTTTTGAGACGGGCGTATTTTTGGCATTGTTATGGATGCGGGTGCAATGTCACCTACGGACAACACAGAAGGACACATATTGCGTACTTGAATGCATACTTTGCATACTTGCGTGCGTACATGGGCGACGGTCAAAAACCCATGTGTAAAAGTTTAGTAAGGAGCATATTCATGTGTTCTGGCGCTGCGGGCGCGAAAGGTCGCGAGTGGGCGCCGGAAGGTTTGGCGAAAGGGCTGGCCACAATGATGATAAAGGATGCTGATTTAGCACTCTGAATGGTGTGAACATTTTTCAATGCTGTAGAAATAGCTTTTGGACTGTTGTTTATGCCATATGTGCCCCTCGCCCCTGCATGTTGGTATGCCGTTGTTGGGGGTTGCCCAAAAGCTATTTCGGCCAAGGCCAAATAACATTTGGGCCTGTTTCGGGGTTGGTCCACAAGATGCAAACCAGGGCACCCTCAAAACCTGTTTCTTGGCATTGGAAAATAAGATTTGGCCAGGTTAGTCTTTCCTTGAGAATGCAGACCAGGGCACCCCCAAAACCTGTTTTCAAGACTGGAAAATAACATTTGGGCAGGTTCTGGGTTGGTTTGCAGCAAGGGGCCGAAAGTGTCCAAATGAGTCTTTTCCTTCATGGTACACACTAGAGAGCCCCCGAAACTTGTTTTGGGGCGCTGCAAAATATTTGGGCAGTGACCAGCCAAAAGTGTCCAAATGAGTCTTTTCCTTAAGAAGCCCACAAAACTTGTTTTGGGCACTGGAAAATAACATTTGGGCAGGTTCGGGTTGGTTTGGGGCGGAAAGTGTCCAAACGAATCTTTTCCTTGAGAATCTGGAAAATAATATTTGGGCAGGTGTTGGGTTGGTTTGCAGGTCAAGGGGCAAAAATTGTTCAAATGAGTCTTTTCCTTGAGGGTACAGACTAGGAAGCCACCAAAACTTGTTTTGGGCACTGGAAAATATCATTTGGGCAGGTTCCGGGTTGGTTTGCAGGCCAAGGGGCGGAAAGTGTCCAAACGAGTCTTTTCCGAGAGAATACAGACCAGGGCCCCCCCCAAAACCTGTTTTAGGCACTGGAAAATAATATTTGGGCAGGTGTTGGGTTGGTTTGCAGGTCAAGGGGCCGAAATTGTTCAAATGAGCTTTTCCTTGAGGGTACAGACTAGAAAGCGCCCAAAACTTGTTTTGGGCACTGGAAAATAACATTTGGGCAGGTTCCGGGTTGGTTTGCAGGCCAAGGGGCGGAAAGTGTCCAAACGAGTCTTTTCCTTGAGAATACAGACCAGGCACCTCCAAAACCTGTTTTGGGCACTGGAAAATAACATTTGCGCAGGTGTTGGGTTGGTTTGCAGGAGCCAAAAGTGTCCAAACGTGTTCAAATGAATCTTTCCTTGAGAATACACAGACTAGCACCCCAAAACCTGCTTTAGGCGTTGGAAAATAGCATTCGGGTTGGGTTGTTGGTTCCCAAAGCAGGCTTTTGACGCTTTAGTGGTGTTGTCGACCGAGGGTTGTCGACCATGTGCGCCCCACTGTGGGCGCGAAAGAAAGCGTAAGTTTCGCGAAAGGGCGCCGGAAGGCGAAAAAAAAACAAAAGAATTTCGACCAACGCCCACATGCACGCATGCATTCATTCATACATACATACACACACGCCCACTACAGACACACACAAATGCACATACACATACACACACATATACATACACATATACACCCATACACCCACATAGACGCATACGCACGCACACATACACACATACAAACATACAGCAGCGTTCTAAATTATTTGTATTTGTGAGGAAGTATGGTTGTTGTTTTGAACACGTGTTTGCTTTCCTAGGTCGCGAAAGGTTTGCATAGCCCCGCTGGATGCCTTACACATACTCACACACACACACACGCAAGCACACACACACACACACACGCACGCACACACACACAGACACACACACACACACACACACACACACACACACACACACACACACACACACACACACACACACACACACACACACACACACACACACACACACACACACACACACACACACACACACACACACACACACACACACACACACACACACACACACACACACTCACACACACACACACCCACGCACGCACGCACGCACGCACGCACGCACGCACGCACGCACGCACGCACCCACACACACACACACACGCACGCACACACGCACACACGCAGACACACATACACATACATACACGCACACATACATACACGCACACATGCTACACACACATACACACATGCACACATGCATACTGGCATACATACATGCATACATACACACATACATACATACCTAGAATCATGAGTGCCTACATGCATGCATGGATGTATAAACACAAACACATACGCCCACATACACGCATACACATGTGCATGTACATACACATACCTGCACATACATGCTGATACATGTTCACACACCCACTTACATGCATGCATGCGTACACGGACATACAAGCGCATTCACGTAGTTATACACATGCATGTTATACAATGTATTAACATAATCCGTGTGCTGCATGCAAGCGCGGACGGGCGTACGTACGTACATACACACACGCGTGCGCGCGTGCAACGTACAAACACACACGCGCACGCGCGCACTTGCACAAACGCACGGACCTACGTGCGCGCACGCATCCATGCGCCCGCGTATTTATCTCACAAAAGCACGTGTATGTATATACCTTTTTTTGTGGCGAGCAGGCTTTGATGACGCCGCTCGCGCTTGTTCTTGCTTTTAGCGCCAGAACTGCCTTGAACTTGTTTTGATGCAGTTGTTTGATTTCACCAAAATCAAGGGTCATCAGCTTCGGCAGAAGACAGCTTCAACGCGTAGCACTTTACTTCTTGCAAGGACGGGCATGTTGCGATGTTCAATTTCGGTTGCAAATCTGCTTGCGTGCTGGAGGTGAGGAAAGGATGTTGTGATGTTCATTGTGTCCTTACATGTTCGTACCCAAGTCGGCACTTGATAAAGTCACACAGACAAGTATTACATATTTTGCACCATGCGTGCGATCATTGTTGCCGAGGGCGTGTTCCCACCAAAATTGAGTTTTGTTTCGCTCACTTCAAGTTGCAAAACAGTTCGAAACCACCGAATTTGGTTGCGTGTTTCCAGAAATGGTTGTTATATTTGTGTTTGGTATCAGAATCGTTTTTCCCATTTGACCGCGGCATTTTCTGCTTAGCGTGTACAGGGCGTAGCGATTGGGCCGAGCCTTCGCGAGCGGTCGCGTGGTACCAAGGTACCAAGGGCACCAAGACTTCTTATGGGTCCCCACAAGGCCATAGCTCCCATCAGGCTTCCTTTCACCGGTCAGATTTCAGGTAGCCCGCAGAAATGAGTGTTTTGTTAGGGTATCCCTTTTTGGTTTGACACCCGAATTAGAACTCATTTTTTTATGGAGCCCCTACAAAAAAGACCCTTATACTGCCATTGGTGCCTAAATAAATGTTTGGTACCATGCAATGTTGGCGTTGTTCCTGAAAAAGCTTGTGCAGTGGGTTTTGCCAGTGTCTAGTCTCGGATCACTTTCAAGGTTTTGTTGCCGTGTCACTCCAAAGGCGAGAAGCTTGCAACTGAGGTTGTGTTTTGATCGCACGCATCGAGCGTTTGTTGCCACCGAATTCGGCGCTGTCCGGCGTGGATGTTCTGCCGATGTTGTGCTGCAGATGATCAAGCCGAGGCCTGGGCTTGGGCGGGGGGTGTGACCAGGGCAGAAGGCCCCCTTGAAAAGGCCCCAGGAAACGATTCTTCGTGTCTGATTCTTTGTGGATCTACAAGAAGTCCCAACCTGGCGGAAAAACGAAAACACGTCGCTTGGCTTCTCTGGCGGTTTTTGGATGAGAGCCGAACATTTCTCCGGGAGGGGGGTGTTGTATACCTATGTTCCATGTTTGGTTCGAATCCTGCGCTGTATGGTTTTCCTGAGTTTGTCCACATGTGCTAGGAACGTGTCAAGAGTCGGGCCCTGCGGAGACGATATCTACGGCAGACAACGGGCTTGTTTTGACATTTGTGTGTGTGTGTGTGTCTTCTTTCCCCAGTGAGCTGTGGGGGTTAATACACCCGGGAAGTGTCCGCTCCGATTTTGCCCCAAGGCCGTCACGGTTCTTTGGTAGGTGTGTCTTGGTGGTCCCGAGTTTCGGTGTCCCGATGGTGAATCAGTGGTGTCCCCGCGTCCCGGCGGTGTTCCTGTGATGCCCCACATCCTGGTGCTTGTGTTCCGGTGCCCTGCTGGTGGTTCAGGGTGCTTCGTCCCAATAGTTTGCAAGTGCTTATGTTTGGCTGGTGTCGGTGGTCTTCTTGTGAATTGGCCATGGGTCAGAACCTATGGCTCCATTTTGGGGCGGATGAACATCCATGTACCACCTATTTGGATGTTCACCAGGGGTGCAGGGTTTTGACCCACAGCCAATTCTTGTGATGTTGTAATGTTGTCCAAGTCGGTGGAGTTCGGAGGCCCAGCGGTATCCCCGGAGTTTCGGTTGTGTTGCCAAAAGGCTGTGAGACTTCCGGGAGATGTGCTTTTGGATATTGGGGTTTCTCTCTGGGTTGGAATTTTCTGCCCTTACCTTTGTTCAGGGCAAGCCCACGCTTTGTGTTCCCGCAACTTCCCCATACGACTCAAGCGGCAATTTTGCTGCAACCAGCCTGCTTACTCAAACCTCGAACCCAAAAAAATATCCTTAGGAATGAATTTCCGTTGGGACCCCTTTTCCGGTTGCAACCCATGTTACAGGGGGGGGGACTCCAGTGATTCGGTTACCGACAGGAGACCACCTTTGTGGTGAACAGTCTCCTAGACTTCCCGAAGCTCCAGGACAGGGGAGCCAGAGGTATCGGTAGGCTTGTCATTTTGTGGAGTACCCGTTTTCGGGTTGGTTGAAA